GATCCTTGAATATTGTATTCTAAATTTAGGGAATATGATTCCTAGTTGGGAGAAGGTAGGAAATTTTTGAAATTCGCCCCACCCATTCCGCAACCTTTATGGCGTCCATTAGATGGATCCTACCATTCTTTCAAGTAAATGTATTAGCTTCACAGGAAAAACTTTGGCTGTTGATGGGGCAGCCTAGGCTATTGAGAATGTTCTCAGGCATGATACGTAACCATGGGTGTGGGGTAAAAGTGTAAATTCTCCCATTTTAATTAAAAAGACAAATAAGGGCATCAATGGGTTAACCCAAACGGGATTTGCTCCTTACAAGGGTGCCTCACAGGCACATCCACCGTGAATAATAACTTACAAGTATGGGAGATGTTCTCAATGCATGGTAGGATGTGGGAGTGAGGCGCCCATGTGAGTAGCAGATCCAGTCTCGGGTTAACCTGTCATGTCAGAGCGTTCTTGACAACCTTCCAATTAGCAAAAGTTTTCTCCAATATTTTAAAAATTGACTCCGTAGCCACAGGTGTCCAGGTTAGCGGTTTAACTAGTTGGGTCAAACGGATATACCTTTTTTTTTTTTTTGCACACAAGAAAAAACAGCTTCATTGATAGTAGTAGAATGATATGCTTCTACATGGTTGAGTGACCTTACCCTTTTATGGGCCATTGGATTTAGCTGTCTATTTACATGAATAAAAAAGAAGGATTGGAAACTAATCAGCAGATTCCGGATGTGAGCCCAGTGAATCTGTTCTACCCATGAACTTGGTCTGGTGTGAATTGTGAAGAGATTAACAAGTTTTTGGCAATCAGAATATATTGTTATATCAATTATATTGGCTGTTGAGGCTGCTTCTAGACCACTAGTTAAGGCACGAAGTTCTGCATCATAACTTTTTACGGCCCAACAAATTCTGCCTTCTGCTATTGTGAGGTTTCTATCGGTGTCTTGAAGAACGAAAGCTTGTCCTGCAGCACCTGTGTTTGGGTCAAATGAGCCATCTATGTGAAGAGTAGTACAATTCCCACTCCAATCATGTTGATGCGTTGTGCTTGCATACCCCTTGCCATTAGATTGTTATCACCGGAGAGATAGTATTTGGCTTTGCTTATTATATCAGAAGGCATCATCTCAACTCCATAAAAAATTTTCTTGTTGCGTGCTTGCCATATTATGTAAATCATTACACAGAATTTCCCAAAGTAAGAAGAGATTTTTTGCTTGGTCATTTGAAATTACAAAGACCTGAGCCACTCTGAGGTTGCATCACCATTGCGTCTGGATTGATTCCAATTTGTGCTTCACACCAAACAGCCCTAGCATAAGGGCATGTGTAGAAGAGATGATGAAAAGTTTTTTGCTGTTATAAACAAAAACAACAAATTTGATCATGTGAAAATAGCCATTTAGCACACTTGTCATTTGTTAATGGGTCAAACGGATATACCTGTAACACCAAATGTCTGAAAAATATACCTGATATTGTAATGTGTAATAACAGTGGAACTGATGTTTAGAGAGAGGTGTCAGAAAAAGAGACTTGAGAGGTTGATACTTGATGATAGGTACCTACCTAGAAATAGGGGGATAACTTTGGCTGCTTTGAGGCAACAGGCCAACAGCATAGGTTGTGTTGAGAGTGTTTTTAGGCTGGGCTCTTCCACCTACACACGCACCCATGTCTATGTTTTTGGTCCAAATAAAATAAGGGCAATTACTAATTTACCCACTCTCATGGTAATGTGACATTTTTAAAAATGCTCTCGACAATGTATGCTGTTGGCCCCCAACAGCCACAGTTTTTCGGGGAGAGAGAGATAAGTTGATCGACATTATAATCGGTTAGATTTTCTGTATGAGACTGAGAGGAGTCTCTGTCTTTTTCAAAATTTGAATTTGATTTCAACCTCAAACCGTTGTCTAGGTCGAACGGTTTAGCAATATGATTACTTGGGTCAGCGATTTTTTGAAAAAATTAACATATTTTTCATAAAAAGCGGTCCAGGCTAAAATTGAACCTGAAACCAAGGTTCAAACAAGGATTAAAAAACCGTTACATATCGGCCAATATGTATCATTCCGGGACCTCTCCGATATGCCCTTACAGTGGGTGTATCAGGGGTCTGATCGGTTCAAGGGGTGGAGGAGCCCTAAACCGGTTTTGAAAAAAGTAAAAAAAGCTATCGATATCAATAGGGCATATCGGCCTGTATCGGTATTATTTTTTATGTTTCTTTTTTTTGAAACTAGTTTAAAGGGGCCGGCCTACCTTCTGAACCACTCGCCAACCCGAAACACTCTCTATAGGGACATATCGAAAAGGCTCCGATACAATATATAACAAAATTTTGATCCTTACCCAAAATTATAACTGATTCCCAGGTCAAACAGTCTGACTGTCGGTCGGTCCGATTCAATTTTGAAAACAGTGTGTTTTAACGTCACAAAAAAAGCCCCACGCCATTCATAAATGCTAGTTAAGTGAGTGGTTATAATAACATGGGTCATATCATTGGTTTCACAGCGTGCTATACTGCCATTGTATTCAGCTCTCATTCATAATTTCATATTTTAAGCAGGCACAGTAGTGGTTAAAAAGGAATCTTGGTCTGCCACCCCCAAATGATGTATACGTGCTATAAACAACAGGACACTACATATGTATATGTACATTGGGAAATGGGAACATGGGAGATGTTTTTACTAAAAGTACGGACAGGCCCAATGAAGAATTTTGATTTATATGCATAACTATAAATATTCAAAATGTCAAAAATCCCCACTCTATACATCAATGCCCTCTCTGAATTGGCATCAATTCTAAGCTGACACCCACCCCAACTGTATTTAAGGCCTATAAATTCTGACCATGGACTGAATTGTCATTCTCCCATGTTTTTATGTACAGGAGTTCAGATCTGCTATCAGG